GCTCAGTTGTTTTGTTACCGTCCAAAACATTATGCTGTAGACTTAGTAGCTCTTTAAGCATGGCAACATTTAAGCGTTTATTTGAAAACGCCACAATTTTGAAGCATTCCCCTCAGAAATACAGATTTTCTAACTCGTTTAATACCAATCGCTGGCGTAGATTTCTGTCAACCAGGTTTCAAAAGCGTTTTGCTCTCGTCAAGGCCACGCACTGTAGCAGCCGTCAAAATCTGACAACCCTCAACACGATAGACTAGATGGGATGTCGTGGTTAAACCCTCTGTGGCGACAGGACCTTCGGCTAGGTACTCTGGGGAGGTGCGTCGGGGAACAGCCGTACCCTCCCGGTGCCCTCCTCCCCCAAAGAGCCCCCCTCCTCTCACCTCCCGCCCTCACACACACACACATACACCACGCACACGCACGCGGATACACATCCAGCTTTTTACGCCCGAATCAATAAAACAAATAACACCTTCATAAATATCGGTAGTCCGCCCGGCTGGTGGCGCCTGCTTTTCCACCGCCCTAAAGCGTCGGGCAGCGAGGGATGGACATACGTGATGTAGGACATCTTGCTTTCTCTATCATACTCTGTAAAACAGCCATCTAAACCTATGCAACTGGCGCGTAATTTACGCTGTAAAAACCTATTGCAGTGGACCTACTATTGTACTATTAGTGGCAATAAATATCGTGTCAAAACATTCATCTCGGTCTATGGAACAAATGAGTTCTGACGTTGTATAAAACAAATAAATTATCTCCGGATCATTGTTTTATCACAGGACTGAAGATCTGTCAGTCTTGATTACATACCACTTGTCACTTTACAAATATGTTGTCACTTGATTGAGCATTCGTCACCCAAACCATTGTGCGAAACAGAAAGCGTACGGTCTCGCTGACGACTCCGCCTGTTAATCCTCCGGCCTCCTATGGCCAGTTCAGAGACTAAGTGGTTCGGATTCTTGATCCGTGCCATATTCCTATTATTAGAGATCGTAGAACCTCTCGGTGAAAGGTTCGATGGTTCGTGCACTACTCTGAAGTTTAAAGTTCACGCGGAACCCACAGTGAGGTCTACCAGGTAAACTAGCCCCGCCCCGCACGTCGCAGCGCATCGGCGCGCTCAGTCCGTTTCTTATTGGACCCTGGAGGCCTGGCCCATAGGAGCGAGCGAGGCGCATCACCGGGCTTCCCTCTCGCTCCACAAGCAGGCTAACTGCTGCTTTATACAAACGCCTCCACATCTAGGTGGAGGAAGGGAGAGAGGGAGGGAGA